AAGGTTCAACTGTCTTTATTGTTGGTAAAACTTGTCAGTACGAGTGGCATATCCTTATACCGTCCTTGGGGATAGCCAAGAGCTTCCAAGTGCCACCGAAGTTATATTATTTTGATGCCCAAACATCAGAGAATCGGATTTTTGTAGTTTAGTTAGTGTCAGTTGTCTATTTAAGAAGTCATTAGTCTCCTGAAAAGATTCTGTCAAGCTCAAAATCTCCAAAACCTAACGGCTCTCTCCAGGAAGAATTCCTTGGCTGTGGTCTTTGGTTTCCTGTAAGGAGAGTTGTTAGTGCGTGTTTAACGTCATTTCACTTTTTCCTAACAAACTCAATCTCTGATTAGATTATAACAATAGACATAAGAAATTCACCTGACCCGTGACACTGGCGTTCATAGTTGAGTGTACAACGACCGAGTTGAATAAAATTTCTATTGTTGGTGAGATTAGTCTTTCTGGTATGTAAGCGTAGGTGAATCACACGCTCGTGACTTCCTCAACGCATCTCCAGGTATGTACACGATTGTTTCCCGCCGCCATTTTAAGTCAGTTTAACTTAGTCGATTTTGTGAATATCAGTGTTCATACTTTAACATAGTGAAATAATCATGTGCCAAGTAACTGCATGCCCAGTATTTGCCAACAGTGCTTGACAGAGACGTGACCGATCGCCCGGGCGGCTAGCGAGCCGATCTTTTGGTGAAGAATATAAATGAAAAGAGACGTGACCGATCGCCCAAGCGGCTAACAAGCCGATCAGTGGCGAAGAGGATAAAAGTAAAAGTAAAAGTAAAGTAAGTGTGGTCTGTATTGCTGCCAGACGTATAGTTATGAGTATTTAAGACTGTAGTGGATTCCTCCCCTACAAACGCTTGTCGTTGAGTAGCCGACCCCGCGAATTCCCCAGTGTATGCCTCGTGGTCTAGGTCAACCAGCGCCGCCTTACATGACGGAGGTCAACTATAAGCCACGCCTACCTTCGCTATATAAGACCTGACCTCGTGGTGACCTCCCTCTCTTTCTACCTACACCAACCAGCCAGCAACACCTCCTCCTCCGCCTGCCTGGCGGTCCTCGCTCCCGCCGGCGAGCATGGCGACCCACAGGCTGTCCTCTGAGCATCCTCACCAACCAGCTCTCTCTACATCACGCTTGTAACCATGCTGCCTTCCCAGCACCAAGCTGCATTGTACATCCAATACAACATGTATACAGAGAGCACATTGTGAGTTTCCTTCCTCCATCCCATCCTGAGTGTGAACCAAACATCCCAAAAACCCCACAAGACATTATCACGATCGTGACTTCCTCAACGCATCTCCAGGCACTGTCTGTGTTGTCACCACTACCGAATTTCGGTAGCCACCTATGGGCGAAGAGGATAAAAGTAAAGTAAAAGTAAAAATGATGTGTAATGTGTAAAAATGTCTGATTTCTTTGCCGAGTTGTCCTCCTACTCCCAAGGACATCCAGTGACTGACATAACTCCATACTCCAAGGAACTACAAACCTAACACAATATTAAACAACTCCCAAATTAAGCTGCCAAAACACTGTACCTATACACAAACATAAAAATTTTAATGTCTGAAGTACCAGCTCTGCTCACACACAATTACACAAAATATCTTAATAACACAAGTTGAGGGTAACATGCCTAAAAAATATTTCACTATGCCCAACACAATACAGTACTGTCCATTACACACACACACAGTGGTCCCTCGATTAACGAACACAATTGGTTCCACAGAGGCGGTTAACTAAAAATTTCGTTTTAACTGAATCTATTATTACAATGGGATACTGGGTAATTGGTTCCAACTCACAGAAAAAGTATACATACAAAGTACTGTATACCAGTAATAGAATTAACAAAACATTAAATATAAACTGTACAATAACTAATAAAAACCACTAGAATACTCTATTTTAACTTACTTTGAGGTGTGTATGTCGTATTCCCGGCAGCTTTGTTTACATATCAAACAGGTGATTGTAGAGGCGGTCGATGTTGACATGCCATATTCTTTACAGAGTGCAATGGTTCTAATGCCTTCTTATGTTTCATAATAATTTCTGCACTGTATATTATCAATATGTTAACTAATTTCAGAATGACTAATAATGTTAATGTAAAAATACAAAAATATTCAAGAGACCAACAAACTCGATGTTCACTCCACTGTAAACAAAGTTAAACTGAGAAGCGTTGGTGGGCGATTCAATCAGCTGAAGGGAACACAATAACTGTTCCCTGTACTGTATATATTATCAATATGTTAACTAAATTAGAATAAACAATAATTTTAATATAAAAAATGCAAAAATATTCAAGAGCACAACTTTCTTGATATTTACTCCACTGGAAACAAATGTAAACATCAAACCAATTACAGTACAGTCAGTTCTGCTATAACACGATAGTTGTGTTCTTGTAAAACATCGTGTTATAGAAATTCACGAAATAGAAATAACAGGGCTTATGGAGAAAATAGGGTTAGGTGCAGATTACTACTCGAAATCGAAAAAAATTTAGTAGTTAGCCTAACACAAAGGATAGCACAGTCTAAATAAATGTTACATTCATATCTAATAATGAAATCATAATGTAAATGTAACACTTTACCTTGGAAAAATATGAATTTAACTTGATTGGGGAGAAGGGTGATTTTGAAGTTGATAACATCGAGCTTCTCTTCAAGGGTTATAGCCTTTCTTTTACGATCATCACTGGGAATGCGATCACCAGAATGCTTCTTGGAGATTCTTCTTTACCATATTCACAGTTAATACTGTAGGGATACGTTATATTATGTTGTCTAGCACTCAGGATGGATGGATGGAAACTCTAAGGTGGTTTTCTTATATAATATAAATTATATGAAAGACAGTCTGGTGCTGGAGATGCCGTGTGGTGAGGAGCTGCTCAGTAGACACGTTCGGTGAGTAGCGTGCTGAAGGAGGTAGATGTGCAGGAGCTTCGTTAGAGGAGATGTTGCCTGTTGCTGGCCTCCAGGTTGAATGAGAGCTGGACAGCGAGGAGCTTGCTTGGAGGTGGTGTTGAGTGTTCAGGAACGTAGAGTAAAATAAGAGAGCTGGTTGGTGAGGACGCTCAGTGAAGGACAGCTGGTGGGTCGCCATGCTCGCCGGCGTGAGCGAGGACCGCCAGGCAGGCGGAGGAGAAGCGAGGGCCACCAGGCAGCGGCGGAGGAGGTGGTGTTGCGTGTTCAGGAACCGAGGCCAGAATGAATCTCAATGGAGAGACAGAGCTTATATACACAGCGGCCGGAAGTAAACCCGTGGGAACTCGCAGGTTTCTCGACTCCATTGCTAGGATACGGTAGCAGCTGGTGACGCCCCCCCCTGGGCCGCTCGTTTGGTTGCTAGGATACTGTCGCATTGGAATGCGGATACGCAGTTGTAGGGGATTCGTCCACTACAATACCACAAAATTGGAGAAATAGTGAGCAAAAATCGCATTACAGCAAACAAGCGTTCGCGTTATACAAATATCGTTCCTCTATTCATGAATCGCGTTAGAGCCAATTCCCGTTGTCAAGACACGCGTTATAGCAGAACTCACTGTATTGGCGGGCTAGCCGATCAGCTGATGCGCACAACAAAGCACTGTCTTGTAAGGCTGTCGTTAATAGAAGTTTAGTTCTTAATGGAACTGAAAATCCAGCAACATTCTACATACTGTACACGCCCCAAAATTGTAAAATATTATTTTCATTTATTATACAGTATACTGTACAGTACCATGGACTGCTAGAAACTTAAATTAAACAAATATTAAATGTAAACTGAATGTGAAAAAGCCATAATTTTGAGCAATATTACTGTATGGTACACAAAACGTACTCAATTGTACTACACTAGACTAAACTTTTTATCTCGTGCAATCTATAAGATGTTTATACTCAAATTAATCATTATCTTACAAGGATTCTAGCAATGTATTTTACATTCTGCTAAGTCTAGTCAGCTATATTTCATAAGATAAAAACTTAAAGCCTAAGACTACCTTCACCCTGGCTGGGAGGGAAGTTAAGTGCCCTCTCATAATTTTGTCCAGACTAAAGAAGGTGCTGGACCATCAGTTCTCGGAAAATCGGTGGTGTACCTGTACTTAATATTCCTAATAAAATACCGAAAAAGCCAAATTATCACAAACTTATGGCAAATTTGCCGAAGACATAAATAATGCCTCCTTCTCCAGCACACACAACCCACACCAGATACATGTCTTACATTACTGAATGACCTCTATTACCTTTAAGAAACATTTTTTTTATCTAAATGAAAAATGTCCCTAAAAAGATTACATTTTTTTTACAAAGTTCAGCCACCAGTCAGCCATTAGCAATGAGTCGATGATGCCAAAACAATAGCAATGGGGCTACACCCTGGTGGCATAATGCAGCAACACAAACCATCACAGCCAAAGAGAAGTTTCACATCCTGTCGGTAATTCTCTCGACCAAAATATAAACAAGCCACACAGCTGCTCTGATCAGAGGTAGAGTTGGGTTAGTATAATGTTACTATGTATGATTTCCTACTTGATTCCAGTATATATTATATGTACATGCACAAAATTTTGTTTTCCCCAACAAAACCAATTTAAAATCACTTTTAATAATTGTATGTTGAAACGTACTAAAAAAAAATTTCCCACAAAATATCCTTGTAAAATAAGGGCGTGTCTTATATGCCAGCATTTACTGTAAGTACCGGCGCCCGTAACAGGACTTCATAACCTTAATTGTCAGACTAAGTAGTACATTAATACTACTGTATAGTCCTATACTGTCGTAAATAGGCCTAACTATATACACAAGTCAATCCAAGTGCAGTTTTTCAGTTTTTTGAACATTAAGACGGGTTTCAGATTTATTTTACTGTGGCTAAGTAATGGACGTAATGTAACATGCAAGTACCGTACTGTACAACTTGTGTAACTTGGGATAACTGGTAACGGTAAATAAAACTCATTTTATGTTTCTTCTTGACCTTTTACGTGTATGCTTTTACACTTACACCTACCTGATGGCAGCCGTCAGCTCACTCACTTACCATACAACCTCATTCACCAGCCTTCACCTCATCCTCCACTCAAAACAATTACAGTAGTAGTGTATATACAAATTGGCTGCATTGAATAAAAAAACAGTTATTTCTGTGAATGATTACTATACTGTACATCCAGCATGATAAATGAATGGTAGTTGTTCAGCTATTAATTACAGTACAGTACAACCATGAGCCTGCCTCTAGCTGGTGCTCAGTACAGTACTGGCAATAAACAAACCATAATGTACTGAAATGCTTGTTGAATGAAAAGATGAAATAAAAGCCACTAACTTCAGACATACTATGCAAGTTGTGTTACTTTCCCTCCCAGTTACAACATAACACCAGAGATCACAAATACTGTACCACTTTACTTATGCCTACATTCATGTGTGGACTCAAGAAACAATTTCAATGCTCTCTCACTGGTGGTGTTTAAAAGCATTACATCACCTGTTTTGTTTCATGTAATATAATGAAGTCTTGTACAGTAATTCAAAATGTATAACTACATTATTTTCACTCTTACAGACAATACACTGGACATGTTAAAACAAAAAGTATGCAAATCCTTGTAATATAATACTGCCAGTTCTAAACCAGGATGAATAATAAATTAACACAATTCTCATCATTAATGATTTAAATGACAATAGTTCCTTGACATAATGGTGAAGAGCTAAACTCAACTCATCAGAATAATTATGATATTATACATTAATCATACAACAATTTGCAAGACCTTCATCACAAGTAACTCCTGAATCTCAACTTGATGTGTTTTTTCTAATCCTTTCATAAAAGCACAAACTAGTCTGTACACTCAGTAACCGCACGAGTCTTACAACTATCACACTAATATATCATTAACACTTCAAATTACAAGATTTTAAATATAATTTTTTGGGGGCTTAAACTTGTTTTTCTTCATTTATCTTCAAATGAATGAAATAACTATATTATAATGTACCTGTATTTGTTTTGAACAAAGGAAATTTCCATTTCAAGTTTTATTGGTCCAAATTTGCAGTCATTTTTATATAATCTAATAAAAGATTATGAGCTTATATAAAGTACTTTACAAATGGAAAGCTGAAATTTACCTGAATAAATCAAATTAATTTAAGTTATTTCAGTATGGTTCACACCAGGTCCCTGTGTGTCGTTCTGGCCTTCAAGTGTATGTTTCTCTCATTCAATCTTTTTCAAGTATTGTATTGTACACTGAGTACAGTCACTCACTAAGTACAGGAGTACAGTCACTCACTGAGTACAGGAGTACAATCACTCACTGAGTACAGGTGCACAGTCACTCACTGAGTACAGGAGCATGGTCACTCACCGAGTACAGGAGCATGGTCACTCATGTAGTACAGGAGCATGGTCACTCATGTGGTACAGGAGCATGGTCACTCATGTCGTACAGGAGCATGGTCACTCATGTAGTACAGGAGCATTGTCATTCATGTAGTACAGGAGCATGGTCACCCACACAGTACAGGAGCATGGTCACTCACTTATAAAGATGCAACATCAATACAATCAACACCATAACTAAGGTATAAAAAAAAACCTCATAAGAAGTCACAATTACCGAGAGCAGCGACAAAGGTAAACATAACTAAGTACAGTACACTTCCTGAAACATATGTAAGAAACCTATGATAAAAAAATGTGTGATGGAGGATGTATTCACTGGGTACATAAAAACTCAGAATACAAAAATATATCTAATTTAAGGGTCACTTTCAACGGTGACTTTACCCAAAGACAAAAGGAGATAAATTATCATTCAGCATTGCTTCTCTCCTTGAACGAATCAGATCTTGTCTGTTATTAAACACTTTTTTTATAAAAGGCTGGCAATAGAATCGGTTAACCTCCTCCAGTAAAGAACACGGCCAACAGTCGGACTACACGACACTGTGCCATGAAACGTACACTATGAAAATCTCGTCGATAACAAAACACAGTACATACAGTAATGCTGCATTATTCTTTTAACAAAATTGTCTGCAATGCTTAACTTCTATACACAAAGATGGGAAATTTCTGTATACAGGGCAGAAATCTACTTATAAAAATGAAGAAAAAAAATATGATTACTTCACTAGGCAGAAACCTACTTATAAAAAAATAAACATTTGGCAGCAAAACCTACAAATGGTCTCTCATGCCAGGTATAATAATCCTCGTCCCTGTCACCGATGGACAGTGGCGAGGGCACATACGGGTCGGGGAGGAACGCACTCACTCGCACTCACACAGACGCACCGTTGGTTGCCTTGGTTTCCGTCCCCATATTCTCACTTGTCCTTCTTTGCTGACTTTTTATCTTGTGTTGTCTCGCCCTCCTCCTTCTCATCTATACTAGGGTGATCCTCGTACCTGTGGAGTGAGTGGTGGTGATACTTGTCCCGGTGCAGTAGTACATGTTAAACAAATGCTACGCTAATAGTAGTGATACATACTACCCCTTGTATACATTTAACTCCTGTGGTGGTAATGATACATACCCTCCATTAAGAAACTCAGGTTCAAGATAATAATAATTAAAAGTTATGGACCCACTACAAGAAGCATCAGACTACCAAAAAGGTGTAAATCAAAAGGACTTACTGTAATAGTTCCTTAAAGTCACCCTTCATGAGTGCCAAAAGAACTGGTGCAGACAGACAAGCTGGCACTAAGTAGAGAAGGGCTGGCTGGGCGTGCTTGAACACATGCATAATGAAGATTGTCATCATGAGTCCAGCAAAGTAGGCAGCAAACGTAACCTTGAAGTAGGTGTTGGATCCTCGGTTTAAGCTGAAGAAAATATTATTTAAATTAATTAAAAATAAGATATACACACACACACACACATACACACACACACCCACACATTAGACACACATTATGAGCATTTAAAATTAAATTCTAGTATATCCTAGTATATCACCTCCAAGATTAAATATTTTTTTCTCCACAATATGGGTTTTTACTTAATTTATCAGTGACCAATACACTTTCGGAACACCATCGAGCTACTTACCATCAGGTCACCTCACAATGTAAACTCATGTTACATATATTTATTGCTATATTACATTACATTAAAAAAATATTTATATGTACACAGTAATTGTAAAAAGGAATATGTAGTGTTGCAGCCAGGGCAACTTATCGGAACCACTTGGTTATTTCGCATTCATTCTGAAATAAAAACGTTTAATTCAGCTTTTAAAAAACATTCAAATTAAGCCAAAATCCACATTAACGAGGGTACAGTGTATCTACCGTCCTAACTCACCATCTACCATCCTTAATACCTACCATCCTAACTCACCATCTACCATCCTTAATACCTACCATCCTCACTCACCATCTACCATCCTCACTTACCATCTACCTCCAGACACTGACCTATGATCAAAGCGGAGCAGAAGGGCAATAAAGATGCCTGGGATGACTATGTCGCCCAGCCCCAGCATGGCAAAGTTGTCGGCCTCCATTCCCTTCTCCAAGAGGTCCTGGGGGAACACCACTGTAGGGAGGAAGACACAGAGGAGGGCACTACAGTCATCACCCTCAAGCTGGAGTCAAACAACCAGCAAGACATAACTTGTACAATGTTGAGAGATAAAGGGAGAGAAGAGATAAAGGGAGAGAATAGAAGAGATAAAGGGAGAGAATAGAAGAGATAAAGGGAGAGGAGAGAAGAGATAAAGGGAGAGTAGAGAAGAGATAAAGGGAGAGTAGAGAAGAGATAAAGAGAGAGGAGAGGAGAGATAAAGGGAGAGTAGAGATAAAGGGAGAGAATAGAATAGGTAAAGGGAGAGCATAGAAGAGATAAAGGGAGAGCATAGAAGAGATAAAGGGAGAGAGAGAAGAAATAAAGGAGAGAATAGAAGAGATAAAGGAGAGGAGGGAGGAAGAAATAAAGGAGAGAATAGAAGAGAGGGTAGAAGAGATAAAGTGGAGAAGAGAAGAGATAAAGGGAGGAGAAGAGAAGAGATAAAAGGAGAGAAATAAATAAAGGGAGAGTAGAGAAGAAATAAAGGGAGAGAATAGAAGAGATAGAAGGAGAGGAAGAAGGAGATAGAAGGAGAGAATAGAAGGAGAAAAAAGGGAGAGGAATAGAAGAGATAAAGGAGAGTAGAGAAGAGATAAAGGGAGAGAATAGGAAGAGATAAAGGAGAGTAGAGAAGAAATAAAGGGAGAATAGGAAGAGATAAAGGGGAGAATAGAAGAGATAAAGGGAGAGTAGAGAAGAAATAAAGGGAGAGTAGAGAAGAAATAAAGGGAGAGAATAGAAGAGATAAAGGGAGAGAATAGAAGAGATAAAGGGAGAGAATAGAAGAGAAAAAGGGAGAGAATAGAAGAGATAAAGGGAGAGTAGAGAAGAGATAAAGGGAGAGAATAGAAGAGATAAAGGGAGAGTAGAGAAGAAATAAAGGGAGAGAATAGAAGAGATAAAGGGAGAGAATAGAAGAGATAAAGGGAGAGTAGAGAAGAAATAAAGGGAGAGTAGAGAAGAAATAAAGGGAGAGAATAGAAGAGATAAAGGGAGAGTAGAGAAATAAAGGGAGAGAATAGAAGAGATAAAGGGAGAGTAGAGAAGAAATAAAGGGAGAGTAGAGAAGAAATAAAGGGAGAGAATAGAAGAGATAAAGGGAGAGAATAGAAGAGATAAAGGAGAGTAGAGAACAAAAGGGAGAGAATAGGAAGATAAAGGGAGAGGAGAGAAGAAATAAAGGGAGAGTAGAGAAGAAAATAAAGGAGAGAATAGAACAGAGCAAAGGGAGAGTAGAGAAGAGATAAAGGAGGAATAGGAAGAGATAAAGGGAGAGAGAAATAAAGAGAGAATAGAAGAGATGGAAGGGAGAGTAGAGAAGAAATAAAGGGAGAGAGAAGAAATAAAGGGAGAGAATAGAAGAGATAAAGGGAGAGTAGAGAAGAAACAAAGGAGAGAATAGAAGAGATAAAGGAGAGTAGAGAAGAAATAAAGGAGAGAATAGAAGAGACAAGGAAGAGTAGAAGAAATAAAGGAGAGAAGAGGAGAAGGAGAAGAGAAGAGATAAAGGGAGAGGAATGGAGAAATAAAGGGAGAGAATAGAAGAGATAAAGGAGAGAAGAGATAAAGGGAGAGAAAAGAAGAGATAAAGTAGAGGAAATGGAGAAATAAAGGGAGAGAATAGAAGAGATAAAGGGAGAGTAGAGAAGAAATAAAGGGAGAGAATAGAAGAGATAAAGGGAGAGTAGAGAAGAAATAAAGGGAGAGAAGAGATAAAGGGAGAGAAGAGAAGAGATAAAGGGAGAGGAATGGAGAAATAAAGGGAGAGAATAGAAGAGATAAAGGGAGAGAAGAGATAAAGGGAGAGAAGAGAAGAGATAAAGGGAGAGGAATGGAGAAATAAAGGGAGAGAATAGAAGAGATAAAGGGAGAGTAGAGAAGAAATAAAGGGAGAGAATAGAAGAGATAAAGGGAGAGAAGAGATAAAGGGAGAGAAGAGAAGAGAAGAGACAAAGGGAGAGAAGAGGAGGAAGACAAAAGGGAGAGAAGAGAAGAGATAAAGGAGAGGAGAGGGAGAAATAAAGGGGAGAGAATAGGCAGATAAAGGAGAGTAGAGGCTAGGCCAAAGGGAGAGAATAGAAGAGATAGGGAGAGTAGAGAAGAAATAAAGGGAGAGAATAGAAGAGATAAGGAGAGAAGAGATAAAAGGGAGAGAAGAGAAGAGATAAAAGGGAGAAAGGAAGAGATAAAGGGAGAGGAGGAGAGAAATAAAAGGGAGAGAATAGAAGAGACAAAGGGAGAGTAGAGAAGAAATAAAGGGAGAGAATAGAAGAGATAAAGGAGAGAGAAGAGATAAAGAGAGAGGAGAGGAGAAAAATGAAGAGAAGAGATAAAAGGAGAGAAGAAAGAAGGAATCACCCAGCACAATTATTTCTGGTCACCCCCCCATACATCCATATTTCCAACCTTCAAAACATTATAATTCATCTACATGTGTGTGTGTGTGTGTGTGTGTGTGTGTGTGTGTGTGTGTGTGTGTGTGTGTAGTTGACGTGAATAAAGAGTAATATCCCTTACTATACAGGTACTTCACTTCTCTTGTTCCATAAATAAACAAACAAAAAAAATACATATTAACATTGTTGTTTTGACTGGTAAGGTATTGCTGTTAAGCCTATACACCACCACTCACGTTTGATGGGAGCTTCGAAGGACTTGGCGACGGTGACCATCACGTTGGTTCCAAACACCCAGAAGACGTCATACACGAAGAGACCAACGAGGAGTAATGCCCCCGTTTGGATGTTGTTCAGGTGTAGGAGCTCCACGCCGTTGATGGCAAAGGCAAGACCCAGAAGGTTGTTTGCTATCCAGTGCTGCAGGAGGGGAGTGGCCTTATTTAAGTCCATATATTAACAAGATAACAGTATAGTACAGCCACACATTACTGTATCAACAGGTAACATGACCTGAGTGAAGGGTCGGTGGTTTGGGTGAGTAATGGGTGGTTGGGTGAGTAATGGGTATGGAAAAGACAGAGGGATGTGTACGTGTGTCAAAAAATCAATCGTCAATCCCAAAGTGAATTCCATATCAATTATTAGTCAAGATCTTGTGTACTGTACATAATAAACCATCACTTAACTAAAAGCATAAAGAGCATACAGTACTGACCTTCTTCAACAAGTACCAGACCCCCAGCAGAGCACACACCCCCATGCACACCAGGTCGTATGACGAGAAGCCATAATTTATGATGTAGTCTTTTTTGTCCTTATCGCCTTTCATTAAGTGCAGGTGGTATGTCTCAAAGGGTACCGATGCTGGCACGAGGCCGGAGATAACTGGGCTGCAATGTGATGACAAAACATTATTGATATTGATTCATCTCTAAAATGGAAACAGTACTGGGCAATTTTTCCAGTCAAAACAAATACAATATGTAGGAAAAGATCAACTCCTGTTGGTTCTTATTACTCATATGGGTTAACAACTGAAAATAAGGACATGAACTGAAACAACGGATGGCAGGGAATTAACATGTTGGCGGGTAGTCTTTGATTACTTCAGGAAGTTGTGACCGTGCCTTGGCAGCTGCTCCTGCATAATGGCATCTAGGACACCAGAGCTGTACTCCTCCCCTGGTCTGGGCTGGCACACTGCCTGTACAGTACAGACGGTACCAGGTAAGCATTTCACAAGCTGGTGCTTCCGCTTGATAGTACAGGATCCTGAACTCCGGGGTAGTGCCCTGAGAAGCGCCATCATCAAGCAGATAATAATGTGGCCAGCTTTGGTGCCAAGTCTAATATGGATTTCCCTGAAGCTGGTCATAGTAGGTCACTGCAAGGTCATAGGACTTCTTTTGCTATGGTATTAGGGTCACAAGCACACCAGTACCTAGGTGTGCTGTGGTAAGCAGCGGCAGGAATGGATCACAGGCTGTTCTGTAGTGATTTCTGACTACTACACAATAACTGACACACCTGTAATGATTTCTGACTGCTAGACAAACACAATCTAGTACAGTACTGGAAAATGGAAAAAATAAATCCTGTGTGAGAACCTTTTAACATCATTTAAGTCATTCACACACACAACAGTGCAATACAGGTAAAGTGGATTCTTATACAGTACACCTCAACTAAATAAGGGAGATAGAGGGCTGATTTAATAAATTATATACAGTACTGTATTTAATTTATGACTTGTGTTACCCAGGGCACAAGAAACCCATTTACAAACATTTTAAATTTTTTTCAGCCTTTTACACCATTTACAACCTGGTACTGTGTATACAACCTAGAACTACTGTGTACAGCTTAGTACTATTATATACTGTAAACAACCAACTACTACTGTATACAGCTTAGTACTATTATATACAGTAAACAACTTAGTACTACTGTATACTGTATACAGCTTAGTACTATTATATACTGTAACCAACCTAGTACTACTGTATACTGTACACAGCTTAGTACTACTGTATTCTGTATATAACTTAGTACTACTGTATACTGTAGGTTTATATAACTCTGTACTACTGTACAGTATATGGAGTGCGGCGGTCAGGTGGATACAGCGCTCACCTCCTGTTCCAGGTTGATCCCCAGGCACTCCCAGTTTACAACTTGGGGGAGTGAATGTGTCTGTACTGTACGGCCTCCTTGTGTACCAAAGGTTAATATATTACAGTGTTCTGTATCCACACTGTTCCTAACAGGCAGTCCTTACACCCTATGGGACCCACTTAGATATTCACTACAGTATGTATACAACCTTCCCATAACAAACACTAAGAAGCATCCAACACATTTGACCTCAATAGCTGACCCACATTTCAAGTCAGTTTATTCAGTCTTCCTGCCATACAACTTACCCAAACACGTGAGACAGGGCGAGTACCCCCAAGACGAAGAAGTATGATGAAAGGAGCAGATTGATGTATTCCTTGGAGAAAACCTGCAAGACACAGAGACAAAAGTTAACTTATCTGGTAAAACTGAAAACACAGACACAAAAGTTAACTTATCTGGTAAAACTGACAACAGAGACAAAAGTTAACTTATCTGGTAAAACTGAAAACACAGACACAAAAGTTAACTTATCTGGTAAAACTGAAAACACAGACACAAAAGTTAACTTATCTGGTAAAACTGACAACACAGAGACAAACGTTAACAGTATCGTTTGTTAAAAAAAAAATCCCATGTAAAGAAACAGAGCAAGTGTGTTAGGATCCCTTCTTCTCTCACTGCTCCGTCTCATGAACTGTAGCAGTAGATGTGTGAGGTGGACAGAGACATACTGTGTGTCATGAGGGAGAAGAGTGATAAGTGAAAGATTTCCTCACTGTACAGAATAATGAAAATAAATAAAACTAAATTCTACGTATAAAAAGGTGCAGGAAACTCCCCGGAAGAGAATGACAAAAGCATTACTGTATACTAAAAATATATATATATATATATATAAAATATCAATGACTAAACACCACAATTTTGTTTCCCCCTAACAAAGGAATTCTTATCCATACTATACTGTATTAGGTTTTACTGCAGCTGTTTTACAAGAAAGAGGTAAATCTCGCGTAAGTAATCTGTCAAGACTGATCCAGGGGTCGACGCTGTAAGTTGGTTAAAAATATTACACGTTTACACAAGAATACCGTCACAAGCTTACCCTTCAATAACACCATAATCAACCGGTCTAATCAACAATACACGGATGATTCATACACAAGACATGAACTATATAGCCTTTAAATATACCTTCTGTTAGCCCTTTTACTAGAGAGTAAGGTTAGGTTATGTCAGTTTTACTTAGGTTAGTTTAGATTAGGTTAAATTATTGTATGTCAGTTTTGGTTAGGTGAGGAATAAAGTATTGGGTTAGACAAGGTCATCTAAAAAGTTATAGCCTACATAACTAAATAACTACACATTTTATTTTCTTAATCTGGCGGTGGTAAAGTTAAGTGGTACTACTACAGCCACGGTCAATAGTCTTTCTTGCTCCACGAACCCGGAGATCCAGACTCGTGAACCCAAAGCAACAATCTGTCCACGGTTGTTTCAGGTTCACAAGTCTGGCTCTCGGGTCTGTGGAGTAGCTCTTGAGACAACAGGAATTTTGACCATGACTGTAGTGCATTAAACCTTTGAGGATGATCATACTCAGTGGGTCAAGATATCATACTCCAGAGCCTAAGACAGTGTAATCAAGGGGTTAAGATATTGTACTCAAGAGGTTAAAACATCAGAGTATGAGAAGGGTGTTGGGATCACCTGAAGCTTTGACCTTCTTCCAGGTTATTTCACTTGATTAAATAGGCAAGTTAAATACACAGTAATTATAAAAGAGGTGTCTTGTGGTGAAAAAGTGATTGTAATCCATCCCAAAGATACTACTTATATTTACCAAGAAGCACATCTCATCGGTCTAATAAAAGCATTAAATAAGGATCCACAGTATTTGAAAAACAACTCTAATGAAATTTTTGTACTCTAAGTGACGTCAACCTAACCAAACCTAACCTGCAAGAACGGTAACTTTTTCTAATGAACCAACAGCTGTCATCCTTCCAAGAGATGAATCCTCACATTTTAAAACTCATTAATTTATAAAACAATAATTATTCTATACTGTACTGTAGTACATAAAACAGTAAACTGGGCAGTTGCTTTGTCTGCTGTGGCCACACTGGACAATTTTATCAAATACAAACAGGCTTTTTTTTTTAATGATAACAGCACTAACTCATAAGATTTATTTTTATCAGTTAAGGTTCCTGCCATTTTATAAGCTTTATTTAGACATTTTCTTTTAATAATGACTTCTACTGATTGATAGCCAAATTTAAAATTCCTTTGAAATGTGTTAGAGGTACAGTACAGGATTCTACAAACTGATTGAATGGCTTACATAACCATCTGATATGGATAAGGTTATAAATCACTTACAAAGTAACTTAGTAATGCCAAAGCCTCCATTGCTGTGTGTCTTAACCAAATCAACACTAACCAGTCTTGAACTACCTGTACATCTGATATAAACAGGAACACATCACAGTGCTGCTGTAAAATGAAAGAGAGAGAGTATGTACAGTAAGCCTTCCCAATACTGGAAGAATACATACAAGCAGGCCCCTTATTGAGAGCCCCCCCCCCACGTATATATAAATAATACAGTATGAGAGAAATTACACACATCATTCCCGACCACCAAAACACACAGCTCATATGTGAATGAGTACTGTACTTAATTAACTAATTGTCTGGTGGGTTAATACAGTATGTAGTCATTTATGAAATACTGTATACAGGTCATATTCATAACTCTTAAATTAAATGTGGTTAAAAGGAAATCTTACTTTTAACTTACGTAAACTGAGCACTTACAGTACTGTATAGTTGTACACCAGGATTATTATGTTGTTTGGCTTTGTCCTGTGAAGATCATCAACCACACTGAGTCTACTAAGTTCCAGCTGACCACGTGGTCACTAGTCTGCTAGTTACATCCAATATTGTACAGTTATTGAGGGGGATTACTGCAGTTGATAATATTAATGCTCCATGATCTATTCCTGCATAAATCAGGCTACCCTGAGAAGATGGCAAATATACAGTGTGGGATTACATGTGTGCCTCTAACTACCTCTCCAACAGTGTAGCTGGAGCAGCAAACTTTAGAGAAAGCCACAAGTGGACAGAGTAGAGAGGACCCTGAGCCATGAATACTTTAGTGAAAGACTCAAAGATTCTGCATGAAACACCAAGGTCTTGAATGAGACAAACTCCACTCATTGAAGCCACCACACTCCAGGCCATCCAGTTAAATGTTGCAGTGCCTCAACATAAGAGATCCAGAGGGGGAATAACTGCTGCACACTTGGCTCACATCTCTCACCTGAGGAGCTCAAGGAAATCTTTGATTTGTCATGTTCTGAGTTTAAAGTCATTACATGGTAACTCTTGTCACTGTACTGTGTACCTTACTTCCATTTCTTTTCTAGCAAAAATTCAGTACTGTACTAGGAGCCCCTCTGGTTTGGGTATTTTCATGCTGCTTCTCAACTTTGACAAAAGATGTTTACAAGTAAACCTGGAGATGTGATAACCCACGATGTGATATTCCGTTTTAGCGCTGGCTGTAAATTAAGGCCATCTTGCTATATACAGTGTGATCAAAACAACGATATCCATCAAATATCCATTGGTTGGAATTTTTTTTTATCTCCAGTACTGTGGGTTATACAGTATATAGTACTCAAATTAATCACTGTCTTACAAGGATACCAGCAATGCAAGCTATATTTTATTACGTCAAGTCGGTGACATTTTATAAGGAAACAATATTTTACACCTGTAAGCCTACCCACACGCCACCACACGGCCAACCCAAGCACTACGGCCCTGGGTTTGGTTCTCATCAATCGTAAACCAACCATCGCGTGGGTACACGGTTATTGGTCGGCATCATACATTGTACATATCTTTTTCTTATATAGTGAGAGGACACAGTGTCTGAGGTCATGCAGCGAGTCTAGAAAACAAGCAAAATTATCACCTAAGTCTGTACTGGGGCGTGGTAGGGCCAATGACATCAATATTCAGGGTGGCAGAGAAAATTATAATAAAGCAATTAGCCACACAGTTACAGGGAAAGGTAATAATGGCAAGTAAGGAGAATGTGTAGCACAGTAAATATTTGAGTATGAGACAGAAATTAGTAGATAATTCTCCTGCTGATTTGCTTAAGGAGAAAAGCATCACTATTAATAAACACACTACGTCATTGACTCGGACATTACCTTAACAATAGAGAGTAAGAACCGCGACAGAACTTACCGTGAAGACAATGTACAGGCCGAAGAGTGCACACGAGGCAATAATTGGGAACATGGCTGCATCTTTTGAAGTCATCGTGTCCACCTTCTCTCCAGATGCCTAGAAAAATTTGGTATAATTCAAGTAACAATATTTGGCATAAATTTTCATACAGAGAATACATACACAATGTCACACCCAAATAACTACTAGTGTTTGGTGCAAAAATGTACAGCATGCTTGAATCCATTTGATCGTGGCCAGACATATGCTGTTAAATTGATAACACGACACAAGTTCCCAGTAACTGACAATGTTGCTTTCAGAACCAATGCATCAATTGATCACCTGTGAGAAACAAGCAATTTCTTCATAAGTCTGAATAAATTAGCAGATGATGTGAATGGTTTAACAACATCTAACCTAATTAAGAGTTACCCTTCAGACGTGGAGAAGTGTCAGTACGACGAGGTGTTTCTACAGGTAGACAAGATAACCAGCAGTGCAGAAAAGTCATTAGGTACAGTTTTATATATGAAGGGTCTCTCTCAACAGAAATAAACAATAATGAACAACACTACAATGACTCACACCAAATTGCTTGTGCTTAATGACCTTTGAGTACTACAATATTTAACACAGCCTTGAGTTCACTGATACTTTAATAATTTTGCTGCTACAAAAATACAGAAGGTCTAGGGGGTCTGAACTTGACTGTACAGTAGTATTATATATATTCACTTTATATACAAGATCATCTTTATCAGTTATGTACTGTGTTAAATATACTGTACTGTGTAAAGTATACTGTACTGTGTTAAGAATACTGTACTACTGTGTTAAGAATACTGTACTGTGTAAAGTATACTGTACTGTGTTAACTATACTGTACTGTGTTAAGAATACTGTACTACTGTGTTAAGTATACTGTACTGTGTTAAGTATACTGTACTGTGTTAAGTATACTGTACTGTGTTAAGAATACTGTACTGTGTAAAGTATACTGTACTGTGTTAAGAATACTGTACTGTGTTAAGAATACTGTACTGTGTAAAGTAAACTGTACTGTGTAAAGTATACTGTACTGTGTTAAGAATACTGTACTGTGTTAAGTATACTGTACTGTGTTAAGTATACTGTACTGTGTTAAGAATACTGTACTGTGTTAAGAATACTGTACTGTGTTAAGTATACTATACTGTGTTAAGTATACTATACTGTGTTAAGCATACTGTACTGTGTTAAGTATACTGTACTGTGTTAAGTATACTATACTGTGTTAAGCATACTGTACTGTGTTAAGTATACTGTACTGTGTTTATACTATACTGTGTTAAGTATACTATACTGTGTTAAGCATACTGTACTGTGTTAAGTATACTGTACTGTGTTAAGCATACTGTACTGTGTTAAGTATACTGTACTGTGTTAAGAATACTGTACTACTGTGTTAAGAATACTGTACTGTGTTAAGTATACTGTAGTGTGTTAAGAATACTGTACTACTGTGTTAAGAATACTGTACTGTGTTAAGTATACTGTACTGTGTTAAGTATACTGTACTGTGTTAAGAATACTGTACTACTGTGTTAAGAATACTGTACTGTGTTAAGTATACTGTACTACTGTGTTAAGAATACTGTACTGTGTTAAGTATACTGTACTGTGTTAAGTATACTGTACTGTGTTAAGAACACTACTACTGTGTTAAGAATACTGTAATGTGTTAAGTATACTGTACTGTGTTAAGTATACTGTACTGTGTTAAGTATACTGTACTGTGTTAAGTATACTGTACTACTGTGTTAAGTATACTATACTGTGTTAAGCATACTGTACTGTGTTAAGTATACTGTACTGTGTTAAGTATACTATACTGTGTTAAGTATACTATACTGTGTTAAGCATACTGTACTGTGTTAAGTATACTGTACTGTGTTAAGCATACTGTACTGTTAATAATACTCTACTACTGTGTTAAGTATACTGTACTACTGTGTTAAGTATACTGTACTACTGTGTTAAGTATACTATACTGTGTTAAGCATACTGTACTGTGTTAAGTATACTGTACTGTGTTAAGTATACTATAACTATACTGTGTTAAGTACTGTGTTATACTATACTGTGTTAAGTACTGTGTTAAGTATACTGTACTGTGTTAAGCATACTGTACTACTGTGTTAGTACTGTACTACTGTGTTAAGTATACTGTACTACTGTGTTAAGTATACTGTACTGTGTTAAGTATACTGTACTGTGTTAAGTATACTGTACTGTGTTAAGTATACTGTACTGTGTTAAGTATGCTGTGCTGTGTTAAATGCTGTACTGTGTTAAGTATACTGTACTGTGTTAAAACATACTGTACTGTGTTAAGCATATAGTATACTGTACTGTGTTAAGTATACTATACTGTGTTAAGTATACTGTACTACTGTGTTAAGTATACTGTACTGTGTTAAGAATACTGTACTACTGTGTTAAGTATACTATACTGTGTTAAGCATACTGTACGGTGTTAAGAATACTGTACTACTGTGTTAAGTATACTGTACTGTGTTAAGTATACTGTACGGTGTTAAGAATACTGTACTACTGTGTTAAGTATACTGTACTACTGTGTTAAGTATTCTTTACTGTGTTAAGTATACTGTACTGTGTTAAGAATACTGTACTGTGTTAAGAATACTGTACTACTGTGTTAAGTATACTATACTGTGTTAAGTATACTGTACTGTGTTAAGAATACTGTACTACTGTGTTAAGTATACTATACTGTGTTAAACATACTATACTGTGTTAAGCATACTATACTGTGTTAAGCATACTGTACTGTGTTAAGAATACTGTACTACTGTGTTAAGAATACTGTACTGTGTTAAGAATACTGTACTGTGTTAAGAATACTGTACTGTGTTAAGTATACTGTACTACTGTGTTAAGCATACTGTACTGTGTTAAGTATACTGTACTGTTTTAAGTATACTGTACTGTGTTAAGAATACTGTACTACTGTGTTAAGTATACTGTACTGTGTTAAGAATACTGTACTGTGTTAAGTATACTGTACTGTGTTAAGTATACTGTACTGTGTCAAGTATACTGTACTGCATTAAGTATACTGTACTACTGTGTTAAGTATACTGTACTGTGTTAAGTATACTGTACTGTGTTAAGCATACTGTACTGTGCTAAGTATACTGTACTACTGTGTTAAGTATACTGTACTGTGTTAAGTATACTGTACTGTGTTAAGTATACTGTACTGTGTTAAGCATACTGTACTGTGTTAAGCATACTGTACTGTTTTAAGTATACTGTACTGTGTTAAGAATATACTGTACTGTGTTTTAAGTATACTGTACTGTGTTAAGAATACTGTACTGTTTTAAGTATACTGTACTGTGTTAAGAATACTGTACTACTGTGTTAAGTATACTGTACTGTGTTAAGAATACTGTACTGTGTTAAGTATACTGTACTGTGTTAAGAATACTGTACTGTGTTAAGTATACTGTACTGTGTTAAGTATACTGTACTGTGTTAAGTATACTGTACTGTGTTAAGAATACTGTACTGTGTTAAGCATACTGTACTGTGTTAAGTATACTGTACTGTGTTAAGAATACTACTGTGTTAAGTATACTATACTGTGTTAAGCATACTGTACTGTGTTAAGTATACTGTACTGTGTTAAGTATACTGTACTGTGTTAAGTATACTGTACTGTGTTAAGTATACTGTACTGTGTTAAGTATACTGTACTGTGTTAAGTATACTGTACTATGTTAAGAATACTGTACTACTGTGTTAAGTATACTATACTGTGTTAAGTATACTATACTGTGTTAAGTATACTGTACTGTGTTAAGTATACTGTACTGTGTTAAGTATACTGTACTGTGTTAAGTATACTGTACTGTGTTAAGAATACTGTACTACTGTGTTAAGTATACTGTACTGTGTTAAGAATACTGTACTGTGTTAAGCATACTGTACAGTGTTAAGTATACTGTACTGTGTTAAGTATACTGTACTGTGTTAAGTATACTGTACTGTGTTAAGAATACTGTACTGTGTTAAGCATACTGTACTGTGTTAAGTATACTGTACTGTGTTAAGTATACTGTACTGTGTTAAGAATACTGTACTACTGTGTTAAGTATACTATACTGGGTTAAGTATACTGTACTGTGTTAAGAATACTGTACTACTGTGTTAAGCATACTATACTGTGTTAAGTATACTGTACTGTGTTAAGAATACTGTACTACTGTGTTAAGTATACTGTACTACTGTGTTAAGTATACTATACTGTGTTAAGCATACTGTACTGTGTTAAGTATACTGTACTGTGTTAAGTATACTGTACTGTGTTAAGAATACTGTACTACTGTGTTAAGTATACTGTACTGTGTTAAGAATACTGCACTGTGTTAAGTATACTGTACTGTTTTAAGTATACTGTACTGTGTTAAGAATACTGTACTACTGTGTTAAGTATGCTGTACTGTGTTAAGAATACTGTACTGTGTTAAGTATACTGTACTGTGTTAAGTATACTGTACTGTGTTAAGTATACTATACTGTGTTAAGCATACTGTACTGTGTTAAGTACACTGTACTGTGTTAAATATACTGTACTGTGTAAAGTATACTGTACTGTGTTAAAAATACTGTACTACTGTGTTAAGAATACTGTACTGTGTTAAGTATACTATACTGTGTTAAGCATACTGTACTGTGTTAAGTATACTGTACTGTGTTAAGCATACTGTACTGTGTTAAGTATACTGTACTGTGTTAAGTATACTGTACTGTGCTAAGTATACTGTACTACTGTGTTAAGTATACTGTACTGTGTTAAGTATACTGTACTGTGTTAAGTATACTGTACTGTGTTAAGTATACTGTACTACTGTGTTAAGTATACTGTACTGTGTTAAGAATACTGTACTACTGTGTTAAGTATACTATACTGTGTTAAGCATACTGTACTGTGTTAAGTATACTGTACTGTGTTAAGTATACTGTACTGTGTTAAGAATACTGTACTACTGTGTTAAGTATACTATACTGTGTTAAGCATACTGTACTGTGTTAAGTATACTGTACTG